TTAACTTACAAAGATAACTATTAGATTTCTATATAAACTTAAAAGAATTACCACTTAAACATCCTGTCTAACAAATGCAATTTGACAGGATTACATGTTAATACTATTAAATTCAAAATCATCATTCAAATCATTAAAATCATAATTTAAAAATTTGAATATTTTATTATAGTTTATTAGAAAAATATAATAAAAAGGAAAAATTAATGGTAAAAAGAAAAAAATTGAGAAGGAAAAGTTAATGGAACACAGAAAAATTAATAGAATGCATTTTAATTCATGACTAATCTGCAACTAATCACATATAACATAATAAAAATTAAATAATTAAATTAAAAAATTTTTTTTATTTATATTAATATACTATAAAGACTGGATCTTAAGTTCATCTTAAAATTAGAACTTAGTCTTATAAAGACTGATTTTAAAGATTCAGTCTTAAAGTTTCAAACTTGAATTTTCCCTATCCTAATATAAATATTAAAAGCATATCTTGATAGTTATACTTCACAACTAGTTCTATTAACATTTAGGATTAGATTAATATTAGATTTCTTAATACAAGATATAAATATAAATATATATGTATAATCTGATTCACTTAATGACAAAATTTTATATTCTTTAGAAGTGGATTTATTTTTGATATGAAAAGTATGTGCATTTTATCCTGAGAATCATGTAATCATTTCATCAATAAAGATATCTGATACTAATAGATAAAGTTACTTTGAAATATCTTTAATATGTAACGCAAGTAGATCAACTTTTGAAAACCAATCAGGAAGTATTTTCGTATAATTTAAAATATGTAAATAGCATTTATCTAAAAATAATTTATTATTTATTTAATTTATTATTAAAAAAAAATAATAGTTATTAAATTTACTTGTTGAAATCAGAATAATAACATCATTTTAGTAAGTTCATGTGAAGGATAAAAACTATTATTTATCCAATAATTATTAATTATTAGAAATTTAAATATTCCAATGTATATAATAAGTGCTAACTATATTTTTAATTCATTGATGATCAAATTAATCTAATATTTACCTTCTCTATATTAGTTAGTACCTTGCTTTGCTCCTTAAATTGCAGCATAAATGTTTATATTTTTAACAATAATATTTAATAGTTTTTCAGAAAAAAATAAATTAAAAGTAGAATTTTTGATAAAATTTAATTTATTAAAAATAATAGATAAAGTATCATGTAAATGATAAATATATTGAAAGAGTAAAAATTCTAATGATAATTTACAAGTTATTACAGATTTTTTTTGCCTTTATTTTTATTATTATTTTTATTAATATTTTTAATTAATTTATCTAAATGTTCTTCTAAACATTTTAAATCTTCACAAGTAAAATGACAAATATAAATTTTATTATTTAATAAAAACTTATTTAATAAATTAGATAAGCAGATAACATTTAAAAAAAAGTTCATATTTTATAATTAAATTTGTCTTTTAGATTTTTTAAAGATTTAGCTTTATGATTTCATATGATTTATATAAAAAAAATAATTTTAATTTCTAAATTAACTTGCTTGTCTAATAATTTTATCTAAAAAATTCACAGACAAATTTGTCTGTCTGATAATTATGCATTTTATTGATCTTAAAATTCGCATGTAAATTTGCTTGCTTATAATTAATGTATTTGCTAATCTTTCTTAAATTTTCATAGGCAAATTTGCTTATTCAATATTTTGCTGATCTTAAAATTAGCAGGTAAATTTACCTGTCTGATAATATATGCATTTAAAAAAAATTAAAGTTTATAGGCAAATTTGTTTATTTGATAATCTAAAAGATAAAAAATATACATATGGTAGGGTTAGTATTGGCTGTAGCCATGACTATTAATCTGGTTAAAATTTGTTGATCAAATTCTAGCCAAATTTATAAAAATTTTTGGCTAGCTATTAAATTTTACTTAGAAACAAAAGAATTTTTTTATTTAATTTGATTATTTTTTATTTAATTTAATTTTGCTTATTTAATTTAATTTTAACAATTTAATTTAATTTTATTTATTTAATTTAATTTAATTTAATTTAATTTTTTTAATTTAATTAATTATTATTTTTACATTTAAATTTTACAAATAAACTTATATCTTTAGTTTAAACTAGACATTATAAACATTATAAAGCTTTTAGGATTTATTTAAGTCAAATTTACAGTATAAATTCTTAATTCTTTATAAAATATTTTAATAAAAAAGATTATGACAATAAATAGAATTTATTTTATTAGATTAAAGATTTCAAAATAAATAATTTTCTATGTTTTTTATAAGATTTGTAAATAAAATTAATCATTTCTCATAAATATAAATTGTAAAAAATAATATAGTAGTTCAGGAAAAAAATATATCATTTTTAATAAATTTTTTCCATTTAGCGATCTAGATTTGATGCTAAGATTCCAAAGATTTAAGAAAGCTGTTTCTATAAAAAAGGAAAGGAACATTAATGAACATTCCTAAAGAAATCCATCTACCTCAAGCCTGTATTACTTATCTTTTCCAATCCCAATTCTAAGAGAGTCTGAAAGCTAAGGGTTCAAGAATGTCGTTCTTATAAAAAAAAGGAATGTTAATAAACGTTTTTAAAGAAGTATACCATTTCAAGTTGTATTATAATTCTGAAAACTTCAAAAGTTCATAAGAGCTGTTCTTATAAATAAAAAAGAAAAAAAAATGTTAATGAATATTCTTGAAGAAATACAGCTATCCTAAGCTGCATTATTAATAATTCTGAAAGCTCCAAAGATTCATAAGAGCTATTCCTATAAAATAAAAGAAAAAGGAATGTTAATGAACATTCCTGAAGAAATATATCTATCCTAAGTTATATTACCAATAATTCTAGAAGCTCCAAAGATCCATAAAAGCTGTTTCTACAAAAAAAGAAAAGGAACATTAATAAATGTTTCTGAAAAAATATACCTATTCTAAGCTACATTACTAATAATTCTGAAAATCTCAAAGGTTCACAAGAGCTATTTCTATAAAAAGAAAAAGGAACGTTAATGAACAGTCCTGAAAAAACATATCTATCTCAAGCTATATTACGATTAATTAGATTTGATCATGTTATTATTAATAATCAAATAAAACAAGAGCTTAATAATTTCTTTCATAATTATATTCATTTTATAGATTTTCTTTATCAGATCGATCTATACGAAATAATACTACATCTGTTATTTCACTTTTGGTAGATAAAACATATATCAGTGTTTATGAAGAATAAATTATTACTATTAAATCTAATAAAAGTAAAGATTATAAAGTAATAGCTTATACTACTTTTCTACAAATTTGAAAAAAGTTGTATCAAATATTCAGTTTATAACTAAAGCATCAGATCTATATAATTTTTATGAATAACTTTGTGTTAAAATTCGAGTTGTTAGTGATATTAAAAATAAATAAAATTTTAAGCTAAATATAATCTTTATAGAGCAGCTGCAACAGTTAAATGTCAACATTATAATGAGAATTTTAATATTAATAAACAATTAAAATCTAAGATTCTACATATTTATTATGATTGAATTCAAAATATATCAATTTCTTACTCATCAAGACAACCTGTAGGTTTATTTTTTAATGTTTATATTTTTGGAATTACTAATACTGGTTCAGAACCTATAACACAAAGAAATTATTTAATTAGTAAACATCAATTACAGTATTAATGCAAACACCTAAAGGAGCTAATATTACTCTTAATCTTTGAATATGATAATTTGCTTTATTGGAATCTATCACAAAAACATCAGAGTTACATGTGATAATTGTAGTGAAGAACAAAAATAATTTTACTCTTTAGTTTTATTCATGGTTTATTATAATTAGAAAGTTTGATATAATTAAACTTAATTTCATGATTTCTGATCATTTATAATTCAAGTTTTGGAATGGTGATATTGAGACGGCTGCCTTCAATAAAGTTTAACAAATTTAATAAAGTCTACGCTAAATGATTTTTTGTTGTTTTTTTTAACGCATTTTTTATTAATTATCACTAATATTGTAGCTGATTTATCACATAATTCTTTATCACGTTTCTGGTCAAGAAAATCAAGAAAGTAACACGAGGAGGGTCAAAGAAGGTAATTTTTGCGTCAGGGATATAATCCGACAAGGTTAATAAATATTATTTAAAAATTCTCAAAATTGTTTTCAATTTCTATACTTTGATAATTAAATTAGAAAAAATTAAAATTTTTTCAAAAAAATTATTGTAAATAAAATGTACAGTAGATGCTAAAAAGCTAATAATTATGTTTTAAAAGATATGAACAAAAATAAATTTTTTTTTTCCTTCAATAGTAAATATTCTGTTCAAAAAAAATCATTATATTATAAACCATTACTTACCCTATCTATATACTCTATAACAATCATTATTTACCACCTTCAGACTCAATAAATAAATGTATAAATATATAAATATGATATTAAATAAATATTCCCTTCATCATTTCCAAAATTTAAAATCTTGTTAATAATTGATTAATTCCGGCGTCTAATAATGTTAACCATTGTAATAAATCATCTGTAGTTTTTGATAAATCTTCATAAACTTCAATACTCCCACGATAATTATCCATTTTTAATGATTTTAATTCAGGTCCCGCATAATTTATTGATGTTGTTGTAGATATATTTTGTGCGCTTGCTCCATTTCCTGTAAATAATGGTCTAGTTGGAGAATTTTGTTGATTTAATGATAAAGTTAATTGATTAAATTTTGATGACGATGGTGAAGGTGTAAGTAAATGAGATGAGGCTCCGCTTTCGTCTGCAAGAAGCTATTAACAACAACCACAACCACAATTATAAATGTAATTATTTTAATAAAAATATTTTTATGTTAAAAAAAAAAAAAAAATCATTGCAACCTACTTTTGGTTTAGGAGATCTTTGCACATTGCTTATACTCGTAGATCTCTGTCTTGAACCTACGGCTAAATTATTATTGTCAGTATCTGGTTGAAGGTGTTTAGATTTGGTCATAATATCTTCGTGAGTCGGTCTATAAGTATTTAAAGTAGTAGCAGATCTAACCCTACGAGCTGCTGCTTGAGAAGTAGGATATTGTTTTCCTTGGCTACTTGACCTATAAAGCGGCACACCATGAGAAGAATCATGATTGGGCATGTCATAACTTCCATGCCTTACGGGTGATCTAGCATATCCCATTTTTGATATCGAAGAATGTGTTGAAGAATTACCGTGATTGTTTATGAATTCTGACATCGAACCTAATCCATTAGATGATTTTGGTGCAGCAAGTGAAGATAATGGAGGAGTTAATAACCCCCCTGAATTCGATCCTGAATTTATGGTAGGATTAGTAACTTCTACAGATATATTAGATCTTAAACTATGTTGAGCTGTAAAGTATCCGCTCTCTTGTCTTACTGGACCTCCAGGCTTTCCATTCGTTGGTGGTAATAATCCAAATGCTTCTGATGATGATTTCGATGCATTTTTTTGTGATGCTGATATAGAAGATTCTTCTTGTTGTTTGTCCGTAGTTACACTTTTTGAAACTTCAGAATTTGTAGATAAAATTGAAATAGATGAATCAGAATTGAATGATGATGATAAAGGTGATTTCGAACTCCCGACACCATCTTTGCTCGAATTTGATAACCTACTATCGATAGAACCATTATCAGAATCTTTTGACTTTGGAACAAGAAAAGTTGTTTGGAAGTGAGCTCGTGTCATTGTTCTTGAAGGTGAATCTTCCATATGTGGCATTATAGTATTGATATTTACCGGGGGTATTGCTATAGTTGGACTTCTATAGCTTCCAGTTGGTGAAGAATCTTTTGAAATATTATCTTGTGATTCTTCATTATTAAACAGTTGAAGTAAAGGATGTTGAGTCTCTGAATATTTTCTTTGAAATATTGGTTTTGAAGGCGAAAGAAAACCTTCAGTTATTATTCTTCCATATCTAAAAGTTGTATCTTTTGGTACAACAGTTCTATCCGTATCATCTCCAGATATTCCATTTAGTTTTTTATCTATTATAAATCCTTGCTGTTCATCTCCCTCCATTACGGGTGATAACTGATCTGATTTACTGATAAGAGATCCCAAGGAATGTGATTTACGATGATTTACTGTATTTTGAACTGTATCAAACACCCAAGCATCCTCTTCTTCCTTTTGTTTCTCCTCAAAATCATATGAATCACTTTCACTAAAATCAATAAAAAAAAAATTAGTGATCAACATTTAAATCAAAATATATATAAATAAAGTTTATTTGATTTAAACCTCGACGGAGTCCCATTAGGATCTTGGAATGAATGGCGAAATCCGGTTGTCTGTCTCCATTGTTCATACTTTGCGATAAGTTCTCTTAATAACCCAATTGGATGCTTTGTAGCACTTTTTATGAATTTAGATTTCATTAATTCCTCTGCTGTGGGTCTCTAAAAAGCAATAATAATTTTACTTGGAAAAAAATTCCCAATTTAAAAAAAAATTTTTTAAAAAGATATTTACCTGTTCTGAATAATCATTTAAACATAAAGAAACCAGCTCTCTTATGTGAACAGAAAATTTATCTTCTAGCTGAGGCGGAGGAGTTTTTGGTATAAGTTGTATGGCTTTCATAGCACTTAATTTATGATGAGGAGGATTTCCTGTAGCCATTTCGATTACAGTAATCCCTAAAGACCATATATCCGCCTGAATTTTATTTGATAACATAACATGATGAATTAATTCTTATTAAGTGAATGTAATCATAACCCATCTCTGATTGCAAACCTTTGTGTCATAAGTTGCTCCCTCCTTTATTACTTCAGGTGCCATCCAATATCTATAAAAAATCTCGTAAGTTAAGGAAATAATATTGAACCACCATCAATTTCTGAAGATTTTTGTAGGCATCCTTTCAACTTCCCGGGATCTAATCTCGCATATTCGTAATCCTTTCCAAAACTTTTCCCAAAGCACGACAACAAAATTCTTTTTGTAAAAGCACGTCCCACGCTTCATCAAAGTATGATTATTGATAATCGAAAAGGATACGGTGTACCAACAAATGATGTTCTTTTTGCGGATGAAGCTGTTAATTGTCCTGCCACACCAAAATCACACAATTGAACCTTTCCTTCTTCCGTTAATAAAATATTTGCCGCTATGATCATTTATTAAAAGATATTTAAATTAAAAACCAATTAAATTGATAGAAAATACCATTTGAAAGTAAAATTTTTTACCTTTGATATCCCGATGAATAATTTTACATTTATGTAAATAAATCAATGCTTGTAGGACTTCCCTTGTTATCAATGATATGTATTTTTCTTCTAAGGGACCAGCATTCAACTAAGAAAAATAAAAAGAAAAAGAAAAAAAAATGTTAAATCCTCGATTAAAACAGGTTTTCGAGCGATTGAATAAACCTACCAATGACCTAATACTTCCGCCTGCGGCGTATTCCATGATAATCCATAACTTTGTACCATGAAGAAAACTTCCATAATATTTAGTTATACTTTGAGAATCACTATGCTTTAGTTGAGATAATAAGTTTATCTCCTTGATAATATCACCAACGTCATCTTCTTCAGTATCCAGGTTTAGCACTTTAATAGCTACGACTTGATTCGTTTCATTATTTATCCTATTTTAAAAGATAAAAAGGTAATGAAATTAAATAAATAAATAAATAAATATATAATATTTGTTGTTTTTTCTACCGAAACTATTTATCTTACCCTTTATAAACAGCGCCATAAGCACCTCTACCGACAAGCTCTTGCCTCGAATAAAGTTCCTTAACCTTTTTCTTTGGTACATAACGTTGTTCACTAACATTCATCATAAAGAAAATAAATATAAACCAAAAAAAAAATTTTTCGGCGGCGTTAAAAAAGAATAGTTGAATGTATTTATATTAAATTATCGAAAGTCAAGATTTCCAAATATGGTAAATTAATGGTACAATCTCCAAAATCGGGGTTTATAGAAAAAAAAAAATATTTCCTTTTCCGAATGGTTAACAATACTTAATAAACTATCGAACATGGTTACAATATTCTTAAAGATTCCTTAAAGGAATTATCAATTTCTTTTATGCATGGGCAAAATTCATCACCTAAACAAAGATGCAAATTAATTGATGTGTTGCTGGTGTTTCAATTTTTGTCGAATTATAACTCTATAATTATCAGGAAGACGGGTCCTTTTGTTATTAAAAATAAAATGACGCTTATGGAATTTGCATTTTTTTTTTTTTCTTAAAATAAAAAAATTCAGTTAAACAAGGAGCAAATTCAAAAGAGGGTGTACGGCAGGATCAATTTTCCGAAAAAATATATTAGAAGTAAGTTCACGTCTTATAAACCATCTCATATTCTTGATTACATATGCAAGGGAAATGGCGAAAAAAAACAAAGCTTTTTGTATACGGATAAATAAATAATAAATGAAGAACAAGAGAAGTTCGGTTATGAAGAATTTCATAAAATATTACACATAAAAATACATTCTTTGCTCATTGATCACGGGATCACTGACCGTAACAATATCTTCCCACCAAGTTTTTCACGCCCACGTGATCATAGAAATATTTGTCACCCCGCGTCACACCCTCCGCGTTTTCCATTTTCATAAGTATTCCGGATGCGAAATCATATTTGTCACTTTTATTCGTCACATGGTTAATTTCTTTAAGGGTAAATTTATCCTGTTCTGGGCCGTAACTGTTTTTTATCCCGTGATATTTACTTTACATTTTAAGGATGCCCTTTCTTTAAATGCCGTGGTGAAAAACTTTGTGGTAAATCCGTAACAATGACATAAAGTTGTGTGACAGAAATTAATGAATCCAATCAAAAAGGGATAACCTTCGCATCATGCATTTAAACCATTTAACCGGATTCAGCCGATCATTGACTTCCAGGGAACTCCCATTTTATCAAGTTTATTTTGTCCCCAAAAGATCACGGAGGAACGTAAGTATAAATAATCGAGTTGTTTTTTCGAATGGAGTGCGCATGACAAAAAACTGAACCCACACTAATTTGTTTGGAAATTTATAGATATTTATAGAAACTGCCAAGAAAAAGAAATGAAACTCAAAGGCGTATGCCCGAACATGAGTGTATCACCATGTAAATATATTTTTTGATGTAGGAAAAAAACATTTAACTTAAACTAAACGTTTAAGTCGAAATTCCCAAGAAAAAGCACGAGACTTTTGTTATATTTATAGAATTCATGTTAATTATAAACATACAATGTAAAGTGTGACAGATATAAATACAATCTCTTTATTTATTTACAAAAATAAAGCCCTTACTAAAAAAATCATCTTATTATGAAGATTTAGTTCGTTTTCATGTATATAATAAATTTATTGAATAGATAAATGATTATTTAAAAAGGTCGTCATTCTAACCTGTTTCTTCATCTAAATATCTACCTTTTTGATAGAATATTCCCACTGGAATAAATTTAAAATAGCAATTCTCGTTAAAGGGAAAAAAAAAAAATTTTTTTCCCTTATTATGAATGATAAAATCTCTGCCCTTTTTTTACTCTTTTTTTTTTAAACCGAGTGGATGACACTTTTTTCAAAAAAGAAGAAAAAAAAAATTCGCTTTTTAACTTGACCTTCTAATAAATACCTTTTTAAAGATGATATACTCATACACTTCACACTATAAAAGGTCCTCAAGTTCTCACTTGCACGTAAAACGTGAGGTGGCAGCATCAAATAACGCATTGATAGTCATGGCAATACTCTTGACGGTGGTCGTAATATTACTTTTACTGATTCTAGTATTTATAATTTTAAATCAAAGAAGAAAGGTTAAAAACAGAATTTCAGATTCGAAGCTCAGACCTCTTCAATTAGTTATCACAAAAGAAATCAGTCATCTTAAAAATAATCAATCAAAGAAAGAGAGTCAATTCCGGATGGATGGATCGTTAAGTGTGCCGGTAGCACTTGCGAAACCTACGAGAGAATATCCTAGTGGTGAGGCGAGACCTTTGATTTTATCAAGTACGGACTTAAAAGTATAGTATCAACGCGGAGATGATAAACATCCATCACTTTGTTAAATACTAGTTGACACGTGAAACTACATCAAATCTTCTCTCATATCCTCGTTTATAAAATGTATAGCATAGATAAGAGGGAAAATAGATCTTTATTTTATTTTATTTTTTTGTTTATATTGTATTCACTTCTTTTTAATAAAGACACAATATGTTATTTTTTTTTTTTTTCTTCTTTATCGTCAATATCTTCCTTGATAACAACGAGCAGATTTCGTTTCATTAAATCTATAGATTTCTTTTTTAAAAAAAAAACCTCCTGATTTCGATACTTAAATGGCTTAATAAAAGGAAATATAACCCCGAATGCTACGCCATGAAATCACTCAAAATAGCTGCATTAATTTGGTATGATTTTCATTTTATTTGGAAAAAGCTCAACCTCTTGAGTTAGATATTACAAGCTTAGAACATAAAATAGCGTTCCATATCTTTTACTGGAAAGATGAAAATTTTAATATATTTTAATAAGTATAGACCAAGTGGCTTCTTATAAAAGCTGCAAACGAAACCATGAAAATAACAACTTTTATGAAAGTAAAACAAATATTTAATAGTAAAGTTTTATTAGAATTATATGACTAGTTTAAATTAAAATGTATAAAACATTTAAAAAAATTCTTTTATATCTGATGAAGTACATATTTGCATTTAACTAGATAAAAAGCAATTTTCCTTAATTTCAAAATCTGATGGCAAATAGCTAAAAATGAAGAATACAATTTTTGGATTAAATAACTAGTATCAATCAATAATAATTGAAAATGATAAACCTAAAAGAATAGAACAGATCTTAATTGAACATATAACATGATATAGATTTATATAAAAATGGAATTATAGGTAAATTGGTAGAAAATGCAGCCAAAAAATATAAATCCCGCCATATTAATAGATTTGAATAAAGAGTGAGTATTTGCAAACTCGATTTAGGTGTAAAAATACTATTTCGGGATATAAAAATTTATTTGGTATTTAGCTTTGAGCATATAAGCGAATTAACCCGCTGTCTCGTGAGTCGAGAATTTGGAATACATGCGTTTTAATTGATAATGGAATGACGCTTCGATTTGAGGGTACATTCGATATGTATAATTTTCTGTTAACTGCTTTTTGTATGTTTACACATATACTGTCTTTGGACATATTGAGCCTTATTTTATATTTGAAAGAACGTACGTTTTCGAAAAGATATTGTCTAATCATCGTTGTTCTCCTCGTGACAGGTAGTAATACTAAATGTCAATGTAGATCATCATGCAGTAAATTTAACCAATAAATGGAATGCGTAACCTGTCACAAATTATAATTAATTAAAAAAATCTTATTCTCGTCTCTCCTTAGAAATAATGTCTACAATTATTACATCCCGATACAAAGGAATAACTTTAGAAGAATGGGAAGCAAAAACTCAACTTACAGAAACACAAAGACAGGGTGTACTAGAATTACAAGATGCTTGTGCAGAATTACCTCTTCCTGAAGGAGTAAGATATATTATCTTGATCCAATCCAATTGATATAACTTTTATGATCAACTTATTAATTTTATTCTTAATAGTTTTTAAGTGATCCTGGACCAGGAACCCCACAACGTACAGCATCACCCACTCCATCTGTCAAAGATAATCATAAACAAACACCTTATTCTCGTTTAAGTTCTTCACCTTTACCCATTCCCAAATCACGGTCTACTACAAACCTTTTAGCAGCTGAATTCCAAGCAGCCGAAGCTGCAGCCGCATCAACACCTGATGCGTCACTCGGAATACCTCAACCAATCGAAACCACGCAACAATTTTTTGATTGGTTTGCTAGAATGGAAGCTGATATGGAAAAAGATCAAGAAGATGTATATAGGTGAGTAATTATTTTAATTATCATTGAAGTTATTTTTTATGATATATAAGAAACCTTTTTAAATTTATTATTAGGAACTTTTTAGTAGTAGTCACAATGTATAGAGAATCTTGCGATAAATTTTTGGAACAGATTGACACTACAGTTAAATTATTTAATGATTTGGATGATAACTTTAAGTTTGTTGAGGAAAGAACAAAAGCTTTGCAGACAGCGTGTGAAAAATTATTGGATGAGCAGGTTGATTTAATTAAATAATCATTTAAATTATTTATAAATTTTATATTTAACTAATTGATGTTTTTAAAAAAATATTGATAAAAAAAGAATAACCTTACATCATTAGCAGATTCAATATCCGCTAAGCTTTCATATTACAATGAACTGGAAACTATTACAAAATTATTTAATTCGCCAGGGGAGAACATTTGTGAGCAGAAGGAATTTATACCAATACTGGCAAAGTTAGATGAATGCTTAGAATATATGCAGAGCAATGTATGAATAAATTAATATTATTTATTGAGTCACGAACATTATATTGATTATGATGTTTCAATTTATCATTAGCTTAGATATAGAGATTCTGAACTATATCTTATGAGATTCAGACAATGTATGACAAGAGGGATGGCTTTGATTAAAATGTACTTTATCAGTGCAATTAAGGGTCTCGGATTGGAAATAGCAAAAAAAAACAATCAGGTAATATAAGTATAATTGTATATTTACTTATTTCTATTATATTAATTTCTATTATTGTATAGATTGTTCATTCAACAGTCCAGTCAGCTTTATTTTATATAAAATTTAGAGCTATAGCACCAAAACTAAAAGAATTGGTTAATGAAATTGAGGAAAGATTTCCATCACATAGAGAGTATGTTATTAATAATAATGCACCTTATTTATTTAATTATTATTATTATGTTACTTACATTAATACATTTATAGATATTATTCTTTGTTAAATGATTGCTATAATGCGTATTTTTCTGTTCGACAACAGTTACTTATTCCTGTAATTTATTCAAAAATCCAAGAATTAGGGCTTACCGGTCAAGACATACTTTCATTTGTGAGGCTTATTTTTTTTATAATTATTTTTATATTTATTATATATAAATTAAGTTATTTTTTGTTGCAGGCTCGAAATGGTTACGCATATCTTTTAAATCTCTGCTCGGACGAGTATTCATTGTTTTATAATTTCTTCTCAACAGGCGAAGATGATTTATAGTATGTTTTATAGCGGTTCTAATGTTCTTTTGACTTTTTTTGGGAATTTCTAATTATGAATATAAATATTTGTTGATTCATAGTGGGAATTTAGATTTGTTGTGTAGTTATATGTATGATTATTTAAGGCCCCGAATTATTCATGAAACTAATATTGAAACATTGTCTGAATTGTGCACTATACTTCAAATGCACTCGAATCAAGATAACGTAAAAAGCGGAGGTACGAACCAACCAATTACACTTTTTTCTTTTTTTTTTTTTTTTAAAAAAAAGGATATTTATATACCATGTTAATTACTTTTAGAATCGGAAGGCCAAAGATTACAATTTAGTCATTTAATTCGCAATGTCCTTCAGGATACACAACAACGTCTTGTATTTCGTGTACAAACTTTTATTCGTAGTGAAATACAAAACTTTGTTCCACAACCGTCTGATTTGGATTATCCAAATAAGCTAAAAGGTTTGGACTAAAAGTTCGTGTTTACATTTTGTAATTAATGTGTTGGATGTTTTAATAATTTGATTTCAAAAATAAAAATAAAATATAATATATACATAGGCATAAATGGAAAAGTCGAAAATAATGCAACTTCTTCAGATAATCACTCTACAGAATCTCCATCATCATCACCAGCTATTTTAGCAGTTCAACAAGATAATGGAGATAATGAATCCATGAGATCTTTTGTATTATCTACAAATGTAATTGATACAGGAGATATGTATAGGGGATGGTTCCCTACATTACAACGAACATTATGGACTCTTTCAAAGCTTTATCTATGTGTTAATGTATATTTTGATCTCAAAAAATTTTTCATGTTGAAATATAAATATATATTTATATTTATATTCATAGTTATTTATTATTTACATTTATCATTATATATATAGACCACCATTTTTGATGATATAGCTCAGGAAATTGTGGATTTATGTTTGCAATCTTTATTATCTGCGAGCGAGTCTATAACTAAGGAGGTTACATAAAAAAATTAATATTTATGTATTTATGGAAATATTTTTTTTTCTCTCTTATTTTGACAACTTTATATATTGTTATAGAACAAACTTGATGGTCAGCTATTTTTGATAAAACATCTATTAATTCTCAAAGATCAAATTGCATCTTTTGATACACAATTTGTGCACGAAGAGAAAGATTTAGATTTTTCAGAAATGACAGGTAATTAAATTACACTTATACATATAACAGTATAATAACGTTATATATTAAAATAATTTTATTATTGATATACAATTAGTCGCACTAAGTGAAATTTTACAAAACAAGTATTCAATATTGAGCCCAAATACTTTATTTGGTTTAGCCCAAAAAGGGATTCCAAAAGTAGTTGAAAATAGAGTTGATTCGAAGCAAGAAGTTGATAAAGAGTTGAAAAGAATTTGTGAAGAATTCATTACAGAAAGTGCTCAGGCTGCTATCGAACCACTATCGTCTTTTATATTGAAGGTATCTGCATTTAAAATAAGAAATAATCTTAAACCAAAAAATCATCAAACATTATTAAAGAATCAAAGTTTCGCCGATCCAGGTATTCAAATAAAAATTTAAAAATTATATGAATGTATAGTTAATTATATTGCGTTAAAATTGTGTATTAATAAAATTTTCTTAGCAAAAATTGTTGAAGTTTACGAATCATTTCAAAATTCTGTACAAGCTCGATTACGATATATAATTACGAAGATGTCGGAATATCTCGAAGATCGTAAAACCGAATATATTTTATTAAAACCGATGCAGGTACAATACTAATAATTATTATAATTTAACACCTTTTTATATATTAAATATTAAAATATAAAAAATATATATATATTTATTATTTAGCATAATGTTATCGATACATATAAAACATTTTATGATATATTACAACAAGAAAAGTATGAATTTGATAAATTTCCTAAACCAATAGGAACGTTTGAAGAAGTTAAAGAATGGGTGAAAGGTGAATGGGTTTGGGTAGATATAGAAGAGACTAATTAAATAAACTTAATATTTAATTTTAATAATAAAGTCCATTTATATTAAAGATTTAATCATAGGCAGAGTTTGAACGAAACTTTTTTCATAATTTGATGTATAATTTTACCAAATTAGATTTTGGATGAAAGTTTCGTCCAAAAACACTAGTTGACATATTCATTAAGTGGGAAGTTTGCCAGGAAAATCAAGTTCTGGGAATTTTTTAACAAAATTTTTGATTTTTATTTAGATTAAAATGTAATAAGGTTTTAATTTTAGTCAAAAAATTTCCCAGAGACTGATTTTCCTAGTAAACTTCCCCAAATGATGCCCCATCTTCCTGCTTAAAACTAAATTACGATAAGGAAACAAGAATACAATAATTCCAAAGAGATAATTTAATGCAACAAGTTTATTATTCACTCAAGAAAATTTTTCGTTAGATTTTTTTTCCAAAGTTCTTCGCAAGAAAAGGGCAAGAACGACGAAATAACTTTTGAAAGAATTATTGGATATTCGAAAATAAATATGGCTTACATTTGAAAGCTATAAAAATTTGAACTTATCAGTCGACCATGATTGATATATTACCCCTTTCTCATTTTACAAAGATGACCAATTCCATAAGTAGGTAATCATCCGATAATGCCGAAGTAAAATTCGTTCTTGTAAGATTTAACAAAATGGCAAAGCCAAGCCGAAATATACTTATCAGAATTTAAGAATTGAGAGAATCATCATTGTGATTCTTGATGTATAATAGTCGAGATTGATAAATTTAAGGATTTAAACACACAAATATAATTGCTTAAATAATAAAGAATCATACCGAAATCAATGAAGCTAAGTATTATTTTCAAAATAAATATCCAATGTATATAAAGGTTGAAAGATTATTCATTAAAATTCTGTTTGATTTGAGAAAATTAGGTGTTGTAAAAAACAATATCAAATATATTTTTTTTTTTAATAACTAAATATATCATTACAGCAAAAGTATTTTTGTGAACTAAATTTCTTAAAAAACATCAGAGAAAAAGGTAAATACTTTGCAAATATTAATAATAATAAATTAAGATTATAAAATTAAAGTTTATGTTAATAATAAAAAAAGTTTAAAAAAGTAAGATTCTATTAAAATTATATTACTTAAATTAAATATATAATATTATAATATTAAAATTATTAATTAAAAATATAATATAAGATAGATATTAACTTTTTACATCTTTTTATATTATTTTTCTTTATATTTTATAAGTAATCATTAATAAAATTTATGTAAAATATATTAAAATCATTAATTTAATTAAAATTATATTTATTTTTAAAAATAATATAAAAAACTTCCAATTTTTTAAAAATCATTTTAATCTTAAATTTATAAATATTATTATTAATTCTATTTATAATTAAAAATAGTTAAATAATTTATAAAATGAAAAAATATAAATTTAGTAATATAATAATTATTATATTTAAAAAGAATTATAATTTATTAATTTATATTATTATTTATTATTTTAATAGAATTAATATAATTATTATAATAAATTTTTTAAAATAGTTTATATAATATTAAAATAAAATATTATATTTCTTTAAATAATAATAAATAAAAATAATTAATTTATTATTTTTTGATAAGAGAAAAAATTTTGAGATTATATAATATTTAATTATTATTATTATATAATGTTTAAAAATTATAATAATTAAATAAGGTATTTAAAGATATAGTAAATATATACTGTATATAAATACAAATAAAATTAAAATTAATAATAAATAATTTTAATATAAAAAGTTTTTCATAAATAGTTTCATATAAATTATGATTTAAATTAATAATAGTTTAAAAAAAATTAAAAATAAAAAATAAAATAAAAAAAAGTAAAAAAATAGTAAAATAAATAGAAAATTTGAAATAAAGTATCAAAAAAAAAACTAAAAAATACATATTGCAGTTAAAATAAAAATAATGTACATAACAATTTATAACTATAATTTTATAGTCTTATATATTAGTTTTTTTTTAATTATATAAAATAATATATAAATTATATTAAAAATATTAAATATATCAAATATATTAAATATTATATTATATTATATTGATTATATTATATATAATTATATTCAGTTATATTATCTTAATTGCTATTTTTAAATATGTTTTTTTAAATGTTTAAATTATTAAATAAAATTTTAATTATTTATTTAAAGATAAATAATTAATTAGATATGTTTTTAAAAAAAAATTGATATAATTCTTAATTATATATTAAATAAATAGTATAATTCATCTTTATTTAAAAAAAGAAAATTGATTTTATTTTTCTTTTATATATTTCTTTAAAATTTATATTATTTTTTTTTTTTTATTTTTTTTAAATATTTTTAAATATTATAAAAAGAATTTATTATTATTTTTAATAAATTAATAAGTATTTTTTCTAGGATAAATCTAATTGTAATAACTGTTACATATAACAACTTATTAGAAGAGTCAATAAAATAGCTTTTTTTATTTGTAATATAAATATCAAATACCAAATTTTATTGACTTTTCTAGTAGGTTGTTACATATAACGTTATTATAAATATATTTATTCTTTTTTCTATTCTATTATTTATTTAAAGATTTTTTAAAAAAAAATACTTTTATTCTTTTGAAATAAACTTTTATTTATATATATTCAATTTTCTTAAAAATTTTTTATTATTTTTAATTTTCTTGCATATATATAATTTTTTTTTTAATTCATATTTCAAATTTTTTAATTATTAAATTCTAAATAATTATTTTATTCATTTTTTAATATTTTAAATAATCTTTAAATAATTTAAAAAATTTTATAAAATTATTAATTATTTAAAATTATTGAATATTATTTTATTTTTTTTTTTTTAATTACAATTTTAATTAAAGTGATTTTGATATTATAAAATAAACTTTACATTTACATTTAACATTAATTTTTAATAATGAAATTCCAATTAATTTGAATTTTATCTAATTCATATCAAAAGTATAAATATTTTTTAAAATTTATATTATCATTAATATCAAAGCTATTTACACAAATCACATAAGATTCTTATAATTTTAATATGTGATAAATATTATTTTCAAAATATGATGGTTTTTTTTTTTATAATTTTACCATGTGATTCTAATATTTATGTTGAAAAAAAATTATAAATCAATAATGTTTTTAGAGTTTTTTTAGGGTATTAGGTAATATGCTTAGAAATTGTTCTTTTATTAAATATGTTAATAAATTTCCCATAAAGTGACTCTACGATCTTTTCCACCACCTACTAGGAAATGATTCAACACACTTTCATCAATTTCATTTTCAATTGAAGTATTATTATTATCCTCCTGTGAAAAAACATGAGCGAATGCTAACGAGTAAACACTTTCTTTATGATATGACAATATAGCTAAAGGTTTCATTGTTTTTGAAGAAAAAACGCGTATCCTATTATTAAACAAACAAGAAATTATGTATAATTAATTATGTTGATAAAATTGAAATAATATATAGTATACATACTTTGAATCCCATCCGGCTGTAGCAAAAATTTTTGAATCGGATCGTATTTTAATATCAGCGATTCCAGCAGATTTTATTGTAATGCTATTAATTAAAGGTTCTTTTTCAAAGTTCTATAAAATGTATCTAAATTTAATAAAAGATTTTTTTTTTTTGTTAATAAAAAAGAAGCTCGTTTTTTTTTTTACCTCATTAAAGTTATATTTTACAATCTTCTTATCTCCCGCAGTCGAGATTGCAAATTTTCGATTTTTCGAAACGTCCAATGCTAACACTAATTTGTTTTTAAGGAAATTAAAGACTTATTTGCTTAATCGAAATATTATAATCTTATAAAACAAAACCTGTTTCTTTATGTTGTTTTACGCTCCATAATCTTTCGGAGAACAATTCTTCATTAACATCATCATCATTGGATTTATTGGAAGAAAAAGACCACAAAATAACACCACCATTTTCATATGCTGATAAAATTAGATACTCAGATTTATTTGTTGGATGCTGAAAAAACTTTATAGCCATGCAATACCCTTCTATTGTAGAAAATTTTTCAAGTAAAAAGAGATGTTATGATAGAAAAAAATATAATATATATATATATTCTGGATCGAAACGATACCAGTCTCCTGTTTTCCATCAAATCCTAAAATGCGTTGTTGATTTGAAAGATTCCACACATCGATCTAAAAGAAAATCACGTCAAAGCTATTTTAATACAAAAATTTCTCTTAAAAGTAACACGTACAGCAGCAGATCCTTTTGAACTTGGTAAAGCAATCAAGATATCTTGATCATTGTCTCCTTTATAAAAAAAAGTCTTGAATTAAAAAAAAACAAACAAGTTAAGACCCAACAAGCCTCATATCGTAATTTTACCTTTAAAACAATAATCAAATTTACAAAAATTCAAGGAATTTACTGATAGACACTTTTCAAGTTTAGGCTCATCATCATCATCCTTTATTTCTACAATCTTTTCCTCCGTTATAAACCTCTTATCATCATTTAAAGAATTCCGATCAATTTTCCATAATTTTAATAAATTATCTCTGCCATGACTTTTGGCAAAGGAAATATCAATTTAATTGTATTAAAAAGATTATATATCTATATGTAATTTAGAAAAAAGTTACCTGATCAATTTATTATTTAAAAACATACATCTCAAAATTCCTTCATTATGTGCTTTAAATTGTAATGTGGGACGCATAGTGTTCATATCCCATATTATAATAATTCCTTCAGCATCTCTATTGTTTCATTTTATAATACGATTAATTAAATTAAAATAAAATAAAAAAGTTAATGTTAAAAAATTTACCCAGAAATTAATTTCGTGTTATTTTGATAGAATTCCAAATGATTAATTTGATCTTTATGTCCACGAAAAATATATTTTGGTGTAAGGGGACCACTCATTTTTTTATTTTATTTAGAGTGAAAGCTGGAGAAAAGATAACAACGTCGGATATTAGTAACTCCGAAAAAAATCGCATATGTTTTTAAGAGTATTACTTTTTTTATAATTGATTTATTTATTTATTTTATTCATTATTACATACAAATAAGTAAATAATTAATTCTAGTTACTAAAAAATTAAATTCAATAATAAATAATTAATTAACCCCCAGCCAATATATTATTACACAAAGCTTAATTTAATTCACTATTTGTTGATAAATCATGAGATTGGAAATATTTAAAAAGATCATATGAATCCGTTTCAATACATCTAGTAAAAAAAAAAAAAAAAAAAAAGGTTAAGGATGAATTAAATGTAAAATCGAGATTCAAAAAACAAATTTCATTATATAAAGGATATGATATTAATAATTCTTTGATATCTGCCATTGGAACTTTAACATTTTCACATATTGTTGCCAATCCTTGTTCGACTCTGCTAACATAATCATTATAATAGGTATTTTGTTCGAATAATTCTGGTTCTTCTTGGAAAGTCATCACCGCATCCAATAATTGCTATAATATATGAATTTAAGGTTTAATAAATTACTAAACTTTCCTCCATTTTTCACACTTTATTTTTAGCAAAGTAAAATTTTACTAACCTGACATAATCTTTTAACCAATGAAACTTTATAATCATAAAAATCTATATCATCTAATAATGTAATATTTTCTGAGTCTTTTTCAATATCATTTTTACTAATCTTTTCAGCAAAGATATCAGTCTTTTTTGCTTTAAACGAGTTTACTTTTTGATAATGTCTAGGTGAATCCCATCCCCAAACATTATTATCATCTGATGAATCTTTAAACGTTGTATCAGTAAATGATATTCTTTTGGGTGTGATAGGACTAACCATAGGACTTGGTTCATCTGAAAAAATATCTTCAGCTTTATCCGTTATTTGTTTAACGGAAATCGGCGAAACTGGTGAAATTGGTGCATCCCAACTCCATGTATCAAAATTAACAACACCTTTTGAGATCACATCATCACTTGCTGCTAATGGTATATCAAAAATCGTTGTTCGACGTCTAGATTTTAAAATATGATCTGGCCTTTCTGGATCTGATTGCGGTGAAAAAGTCCATGTTTGTACAAGATAAAGAGCTAATAGCGGACATCCCATACGATCATAAGCAAAAATACTTCTTAACACAAAGAAATATTCTTTTTCAAACGATATTTCTGCTGCTCCTCTTAGTGTTTGAATAGATTTATCCTTTAACTGCTTATATAAAACTATTAAAGCCGCATCAGGAGAATCGGTGGTTAAAGGTGTTGATTCTATCTTATGATCACACAGCGTTTCCAAGGGTACCTAGAAAACAATAATGGTATCTAAGGTAATTCTTATTTACTGAATATCTCATAAAGGGAAATAATTAAATATTTCAAACCATAATTGCTTTCACGGCTTTATCTCTCTGATTCAATGACCAAAAAGCCAAGCTAGCCAACCATCGATCTCCTGTTCTTATTGCCAATGGAATGACATGATCTTCATATATACTCTTCAAAACAGGGCCTTCTTCACCTGTAAATGATATCATAGTTATATTACCTACTTTTTTTGTTAAAATAAAAAATGAGTATAAATTTACCTTCATAAACTCTGGCAATGGCGATAGCTAATTGAAAATCATCTAAATGCTTTAAGCACACGTTAACAGCATCTTTTAACCGATCTCCAAGGAGGAAAAAGGCTGCCGCATATTCTTTCAAATTAGATATATTGTTAATTTTCTATACTTCACATTTTAGAATTCTCTTTGTATACACTTAAATCAATACCATAACGTTGTTTGCCTAACAAGGCATAAGCATTCTTCAAAGCTGCTGTCTTCCATCTAGGTTCAGTAAAATCATTTACAAGGAACTTCAACATGAGAGTTTGTTCTTTGTGTGCATTAGCAGTCCTCCACAATCCTAACAATAGTTTCTTTTTTCGTAATGCCATATAGAAAAGAGAACAATCCGTTGGGTCTCTCTCTTCTTTTGACATGTAATGATTACGAGCAACGTTTTCAATTTGTTGTCGCTAAAGTCAATTGAATGATAATTAACATAATTCCATAAAGCTTAAACATAAAAAAAAATTTAATGTAAGAAATAAACTTACAACTGACTCATTACTCCGAAGCCATAAAAAAATTCCGTGTATTCTTGCATCTTTCCATAAAAATTTCCCGCCAGATGCTTGGATACTGTATTCTATTAAAAGATCCTGCAAATAAAATTTCATCAATTAATAAATCTATTGAGATTATAAGAAAAGGTACGTAATTAGTTTTCTACCTGAGAATCACTATGCAATGCCCAGTTCATATCTCGATAATTTAAACCAGGTGTTCGTATGCCAGAAGATAGTTTATACCGATTTAAATAATGATACCGTCGCATAAATAAAACATAACGAACGCCATTTTCATCCAAACTTCGTTTTTGATGTTCTACCTATATTTAATGGAACTTAATAATAAACCTTCAAAATACAAGATTTGAATTTTTATTACCTGATTAATAGTATCAATTAAAGCTAGCAATTGTGCTTGTTCGACATGTGACAAATCAGGCAATGAAATGACCTTTAATTGTTCACTCAAGAAGTTAGCCGTTTCCTCCGTAAACTCGAGTAAAGTTTCTTGAGATCTGATAAAATAAAATAGAAATTATTAATTATTATTAATTTGGTTTATGGAAATATTTATTACTTATATTGAAATATGTACCCTTCTTCATCACTATCCTCTCCAAAAAGACTACTATAACGACGAGTTTTTGTTGATGGCTTTGGCTTTAATAGCAAGAAAAGCAAGTTAACAGAATGAGGGAGGAATAAACAAATATTATTGTATTTATCAATAATTTTCAAACCGTTTCATCTTGGGCTTGGAATAATTTATCAAATGGTAAGGGAAGGAGTCGCTTAATAGGTTTATTTGACCCAATTAATATTTTAAGGAATTTATAAAGATGAGCAAGGATTTGCTTAACTAAATCCATTTTACCTATCGGGATAAATTCAAAGATCATCTTAATAAAACCATTTGATTATTTAAACTTTTTTGAAGTGTATTAACTTACCCCAAAGAATATGTTGTAAAAGCAATGTTGGGTGATGATGTGGTAAAGGACCATTCAAATGGTCAACAACATGAAATAATGTAGGATCCTTTTGAATGATTCCAGTTATACTAGAAACTATCAGAGAATTCAATTTTAGAAAATAAAAAGATCGTGTAAATATATATAGTCAACAAAAAATTCAATTACCTTTTTTATTACTTTCTTCTGTTAACCATTTATTATAACAACGAAACTGATTACAATTAGCTACAATAAGTGAACCTCCACTTCCCCAAGATATAGCAGAAATAGGTAGTGCAACATTACTAAGAAATAACAAACGTATGTCATAAATATAGAACAATTGATTAAAAAATAAAATAAAATAAAAAAATTAGAAAAATAGAAAATTACCAAGGTTTATCAATTTCTGAAAACATAATCCAAGAGCCTCGCTCGGAAACATGATGCTTACGAAGCTGAGTATAAATATATATTTTCTGTGACGTTGACACAGCTAATACAATCTCGGCGTTAGATGTGAAAAGCCAATCTATATCAACAATCTTTTCACTAAATAACGCGAAAGAAATTCAAAAACGGGAAATAAGAATAAATAATTAATTTTTATATTAAAAAAAAAAATAAACATTGTTTCAAAAATATAGAACCTAAATCCTTCTATAAAATCTTTGGCAGGTGGTAATCTTTTAGTTATACATTCCCATATTGTCAATTCATAACCATTTTCCTTTTTAATAACTATAAATAAATAAAATCAATAAAAAATTTAAATATAAAATATAAATATATATAAAGACATTTCTTACCAACTGCAGCTTTCCCTTGTGGGCCACATTTGATTAACACAGTATCTTTTTTCTCTCCAATGTCAAAAACAACTTCTTCCATCCACAATACTTTATCATTATTAGGGTCGTCGCTATTATATTTCATATTGGCTTGCCAATATCTGATATAACCTTCGTCGGAATATGTTAGTAATATAGGAGGAGACAAGTTTTCGGATGGATAACGTCTTATATTAGACCCTGCCCACTGTTCGACAGAAATGGCCATTGTAACCTGACTGTCAATAGGAAGACAAGTCTTTGAAACAAAATTAATTATTGGACCTGTATGACCTATAAAAGAATTTCAAATTTATTAAGGAATTTAAACTATAACAAGTAAAAAATTAATCGAACCTTCACCATATGAAAACGTCCAACAAAAAACTGTATTCTTTTTGGAGCTTATTCCAACAACATAAGTAGGAAAAGATGTTGTAGTCGTCTTGTGTTGATAAGCAAATAATAAGAGCAATTCATAAGAAGCATCGTAATCATCGAAAACAACCGTCTTATGAAAATTATCACAGTTTTTGCTACCACACATAAAAAGTTCAATTCGTGTTCCATCATATGCAGCCAAAAACTCTCCTAATTAAATAAAAAAAAAAAATACATAAATAAATATATTTGACAAAGAATAAGAGATGAATTTAAATTGTAGTGAAATACCATCAGAAAGCACGCATGCAAGCTTGATTTGCGAGTCCACATAAACCGGAGCTTTTTCGATAATTTTTGGGCCAATTTGTTCAACAAGCTAAATAGAAATAAATAAGTTAAAAATTTATATCTTTAAATAAAAAATATTTCCTAGCATAATAAGTACCTGCGATATGTCAGGCTTCGTGATATCCCACAAGATTGCTTCTTTTCCATCATTAGTAAGTGAAACGAAACAATCAGTTCCAGGAGACTTGATAATAGTTTTGACATGATCACGATGACCACTCCATGAATACTTCAATTGCAATGGAGATAAATTTTCAAATACTTCGACAAGTCGAGTTGAATATTTGTTAATCCGACCTTGCGGACTCTGGGCTAATATTGTAAGTTCTACTGAAGCTTTACAAGAATAAACACGATAAAGTTAATATTTACGTATAAATGAGCGTATTCGCGGAATATTGTCTAAATTAGAATAATTACTGCTCTTAAAATCAGAACTTGTATTATCATGAAATACAAATGTGCTTCCATGAAAATATTCGGCATTAGATGGTGGAAGCGCCTGAGACGCACGAAGTAAAACGAGAACTTTTGGAATACGTCTTGGTCTACAATAAACATTCTAATTATAAAAATGATGTCAATATATTTTTGAAAATTTTATAAACAAGATTCAAATATCATAATAGTTACTCTTATTCCCCAAATAACCATAGAACCATCTTTTTGAATCTGATACAACAAATCCGGTGTATCATTTGCAAGATCTTTCAATTTTTTTAACCCAGCACCTATCTGGGTTTGTTCTTTTTCACTATCAAAAGAATCTATAGCCAATTTCAGAGATATCAGAAATTCTCTTGGATGTATCCAATGAATGGGCGAGTAACAATCAGGATCTCCGTGACAAATTCTTTCTTCTTCTGAAGAAGGTAGAGTCACCAACGATTGTTCAGGATCAACTACTGTGCATATATAAAGATTGTGAGGTTCTTCGGGATTCGTTGCAGCCCATATTCTACATATCCCGTCCTTGCATACTGTCAAAAGAATGTTGCTGCCTTGTGAACTAGGTAATTTTTTAAAAGGTTAATTTTTTCTAATAAAAACTTGAAGATCAAATCAAAAAATTATTCTTTTTACTTTATCTGTTCAATTGGACCTTTACGCCATGACAAGTTTGTCACGGATCTTGGATGTGGCAAATAATGAAATTTGGATTTCCAGTTCTTGTAATCACCTTGGGGACAACACCAAATTTTAACAAATCTATCATACTTTGCATAAATAAATTTATTATAAGTATTTAATTTAAAATAAAAGTCACAACATTTAAAATATGAAATGATAATTAGGATAAAAACCTCTCCAACTGTAGCAAATAATGTAGAATCCGGAGAAATTTCAGCATGAATTATATTAGATGCAACTCTGTAATAATTATGAAAGAAATTGTTGAAATAATAAATAAATGATTATAATTATGATATCCGATGTAAGTAAAATGACCTTTGTTCCCATATTTTGGTCCATTTGTTATGATTATCTTCGCCAGATTTATCTTGCTCCCAAAGAACAATGGCTCCTCCACCCACCAAGAGTTGACCTTATAATAAATAATTAAAATATTAAAAATTGATCCGCATACTAATTTTAATAAATTCCTAAGATCTTTACCATTAATTAAACTCCATGAAGTGCAAAATGTAGGATAATTATGTTCCAGTATTTTCAATAAAGACCATTGTACTTTCTGAAAATAAATTGACATATAAAAAATTTCATCAAGTTTCTTTGACAAAGGTATATTATTATCATTGTGAAATTTTACCATATGTTTGTTTTGAATTGGTTTAAATATAAGTACGTTTGTTCCAATTGTTATAGCAATCTATTTAATTAAATGAAATAAAAAAATTTTTTAAATCAAATTTTTGTATTGTTTCATGTTTAAGCATAAACTTTCCACAAATCTTCTCATTCATTATGCATAAATCTCAAAGGATAGGATTATTTTATGGAAAAGGATAAAAATATATTCATTTTATTCATCAAATTAAATAATCAACATTCGATCGTTTTAAACTATTAAATTGTCAGTCACAAGAGTAATTCGAATCTATAATCCAAAAAAAAATATTGGCAGACAGACTTTACACTCAAAATAATAAATAATTTGATATAAAGTAATCTTTCTTACTTACCTTTCCATCAAATTCTGAAATCTCTGTAGAAAAAATTTTATCTTGATTCGGTGATCCTTTCAAAAATTCGGACGCATCGATTGTTTGGATCAATTCGGAAAGTCCATTATAAATTACAAGTTTATTACCTGAACCATATACCTTTTGAAACAAAGGTTAAGTTAAAAATAAAGCAAACTTGAAACATTTGTTAAGATAAGACTAAATTAGCTTACAATGTAACGGGAATTTTCCCAGTATGCGGTATGAAAACTTTGGACAAATCCATTGGACTTTCCCGAACTAATTTGTTGAAGCAACATACTTCCAAATATGAAAAAAATGAATAGAACGTAAAAAATGATGTTAAGAAAGTTGGAGTTTATATAGTAATTCATTATTTATGTTACACTAAATAATGGTTACACTATAGTAAAAATTTTTTCTAATATTAATATAATTTTCCGATAGATGGCCAGTTATCGGGTTCTTGGATCAGTTTACCCAAATCTAATCTTTTCGCTTATATAATTAAATATCTAAAAAAAAAAAAATCTTTTTTTTAAACAAAAAAAATTCATTATTTCTCTTTAATTAATCAATTTGTAAATATATAAATATATATTGTTATTATTTATAAGGTGTTAAAACAATATTTATTTTATAAATAAAAATCAGATTTCTTCCATTTTTACTGACGTTCTTATGTAATACTAAATCAATTGTTAAATTATATATATTTATTCGAATATCTTTTTTTGAAAAAAATAAATATAATTTTTAGTTAAAAAAAATTAGGTGCTTATATTTATTTTTTAAATATATAAAAACAAAGATCAAAAAAATGATAAAATATAGATTTACAAATATTTAAACTTTTTTACAAAATTTTCAATAAAAATTACTTTTTTACTTTGATTTAAAAAGTAATCTTTAATTAGTAATATCATTTATTCTAATTCTATATTATCTATAAATAAATAATTTAAATTCAATTTTAGGATAATGATTATGTATTTGATTTAATTGAAGTTAATAAAGCAAATGGATGTGATAATAATGCTTTCGCTGTTGGTCTATTTTCATGATTTCTTTTCAAATAAGATAAATTATTAATAAAGTTTAATGTAAAAAAAAAAAAAATCATCAACATACTTACAATTCAAAAGTCTTTCTCAAAAACTCTTTTGCCTCATTTGATACTACTTCTGGTATTTCAGGTGAACATGATTGAGATCCAATCTTTAAAATACGTAAAATAATAAATATTATTTATTATATTATTCAGGTATAGCCTTTTATAAAGTATAAAAACTTACCCTAAACATGGCCTGCATTTGATTAAATTCAGGGAATGGGTGATCTCCTGTGAACATTTCTACAATTAAACATCCTAAACTCCATATATCTGCTTTGCTTGTATAAGGAGTTTGTTTAACAACTTCTGGAGCCATCCAAAACACTGAACCTTGTAATGAAGGCCTACTCACGGATGTATTTGCCATAATTTCTTATTTAATTAACATAAATATAAATTAATAAAGTAATAAATAGTATTAGTCAAAAAAAACAAAATGAATCACTTACGGTCTTCAACTTTTTTTGAAATACCAAAATCTGATATTTTGACACCTCCCTTATTGTCAACTATAAATAACAAAAATTTTAAAGATTACAAAATGTGTCAATTTAAATAGATATAGATTTATTTATTAATTACCTAAAATGTTAGCGCCTTTGATATCACGATGAATAATATCCTTCTCATGAAGGTAGTTTAATCCTTGTAAAATTTGCCTGTTAAATGACCTAACCAATGTTTCTTCTAATGGACCATAATTATTAAGCATAGTTGCAACTGATCCACCTGGAACATATTCCAAGAAAATATTTAAAGTTTTTTCATCGTGTCGTGACCCTAATAATAATAATAATAATATCAGATGAAAATTCTTTGTTTTAAAAAGAAAAAATCATTGAAGATTACCAAGGTATTGCACAATATTTTCATGATGTAAATCCTTTAAAAGAGTAATTTCTCTTTGTAAAGCATCTAACTAATCAATTGAAATAATACATTTGATTAATGAAAATTATTTTTAGGGAAAAGCCGTATGATAATACTATAATAATCTAATAATATACCATAGATTTCTTTCTCTCCTCATTTGCAGATTGTCCTGTAGGTAATTCAACTTGCTTAACTGCCATTAATTCTCCAGTAATAGCATTAAGTCCTAAGTACACACTGCTAAAAGATCCCATTCCGATCAAAGCGCCCTGCATCCATTTCGAAATTTGGTTATCTCCAACTATATTAAAATAAATTGAGATAAGTTAATGGCATCGCCTATAACAAATACATATAAATAATTTTTAAACAGGATTTTCTATTTAACCTACACCCATCTTGTTCAAGTATCAAGTCTTCAAATTCATCATCATCATCATCATCATCATCATCGTAATCATCATCACAAAATTCATCAAAATTATTAAAATCATTATTATTTTGTTCTTCTACAATTGCTGTTTCTGAATAATCCATAGGTGATAGAAAAGTATTAGCCTTTTCATCATCATATAAATAAGACATTCTTTTCGATTTACGCCTAGAAAATTTAGAAGCGGAGGAAAGTCTTGATGCCCTTCTAACAGAATTTCTACAACTTCGTTCTAATTCTTCACTATTATGTCCGGGAAAATATTCTGTAAGATTCAATGAAATCAGTTCTGAAGGAGGCCGTTGACCAAAAAAATTTCTTAAATTTTTTTGTGATATTCCAACTTGTGATGATGGAGGTTTTTCTCCAAAGAAATTTTCTAATTTTTTATCTCTATTCCGACGTTTTAATTGTTCAAAACTCATATGTACATGCTTCTTGCGTAAAATAAGTCTATCTCTTTCCGGTTTATCTGAACTTCTACAAATTTTCACTAATTCTTCATCAGATAAGCTTCGAGCTATGTTATTGAAAAAATAAAATAAAATCAAATAAATGTTAAAATTCGAATAAAGTGCAAAAAAAGTTTTACATAACTTACCTGAACCAGAATCGCTTAAAGTTGTAAATAACGAATATTTTTCAACATCATCATTAATATTAAACTTTTGCAAAACTTTTGCTAAAATAGATTTAGCATCGGTTACATTATTAATATAAATAGTTCGCATTGCACCATCTTCACCGATAACTTTGATGACACGCTAATATAAGGCAAAAGAATTAACAAAATTAGTTTAACTCATTTTATAAGAAAAAAAAAGATAAATAAATAAGATACAGACCTGTTTTACACTTTCTAAGGAATTTGATACTTCGTGATGTTGCTAAATTTAATGCTTTTAGTAAATTATTTAACGTAAAATAAATAAATAAATGAATAAATAAATATATATTAACTTTGGTATGTTGAGGACTCCGTAAAGGATATTCATGATTTTTTCGCGATGAAGTAGAATTAGATCGAGATATGGTGCTTGCTTTTGAACTAGATCTGCTGAGAGATACTGGGAATCTGTCAGAATCAGGCGAATTCAAGTCCTAAAGATTTTTATTTTTTATTAAACAAAATTTCAACAAACAAAAAGTTAACACAAAAAAATCTGAATTTGTAAATAAGTACCTTTGGTAGATAATATTTGATAGGATGAGCATAAGGAGCAGTATTTCCTACGCAGCACTTTAGCAAAGTTTTGACTGCTAAAAGGATCCTAACGCGCTCACCGATTGATCTGATCCTCAATTCTTTGAGGATTTCATGATCTAATTCTAATAGGACATCTCCGTTTATATCGTTTTCTGATTAAAAACATTGGCAAAATAAAAAAAAAAGGAATAATGGATAATAAGACAAAAATAAGAACAATGGGAAAATAAGTTTTTACCTGAAAATATCTTTTGATATTCTCGAAAATTATTTTCTTGCAGCCAACAAGCTACTTGATCATATTTCCAATTTCTCACGCTTTCAAAAGTGAATCTACAATCAACTATAGGTGACTGAGGCGTGGAATCCATAAATATTTTAGGAATTTTGAAAAACGAAAAGGCGTACGTCGATTGGCATAATTTTTTAATATAGTGTATTGTGGTGTAACTTCAACATTTGATGTCCTATGTATTGTAAATCCGTAAATCAGGAAAAGACGATGATAGGTCAAATCAAACGGGATTGTAGATAGATATGTAAATTTATTGCAGTTAAAAATCAAAGAACTGTTAAATCCAAAGAGAACATTTATGATTTATCGTAAGACATCTCGGCTGAGTTTTTCATCGAAACCTTGGTATAACTGAAAAAAAAAAAAAACATTGCGAAAAATATCCAAGATGTCGGTTGCATACAGAAAATATGCGACTACTTATTTTCTGTTCTTATAAAGACCATTTAAATTTTCCGGAATTTTACCTTATACTTCTACTTTTATTTCTTGTGTAATATAACAATGGTTATAAATTAACTTCCGAATTCCTGATTTTGAAATATTTGGCGCAGTGAAATTGCTACTTATCTCTGAGATTCATATGAAATATTTCAATTTAATATAATTCATATCTATTGCAACAGCTTAATATATGAATAAAGAAATTTAATTTAAAATAAAGTAACGCATTGGAATGTTTTAATTAGAAAATATTTAAATTAATCAAATATTTATAAAAGGATATCTAAGAAAGAAAAGAAATCTAAATTAATGAAACTACTTTATGTACTTGGTGAGAAAATAAAGAAGACTACGGTTCAGTAGGATTTACGAAAGGAATATTAAGAAGGTGGCCAGTGGGTAGATAATAAAAAATCACCATCATATAAGAGATCGGCGGGTATGATATTTGACCGTGATTCATTTTTTTAATTAGCCGCTGGCTTTTTCACAAAAAAAAAATTTATATACAATGTTTATATTTAATATGGAAGTATTTATATCAGAAAAATATAAATTATGATTGCTTTCAACCGTGATGAAGATATTTATAACGCCCCATTCAAAGGATTTACCCTAGCTTCGTGTGCAACTGATGAATAGATAAAGGGGCGCAATAACCTTTCTTTTAATTTGAGTCACATGTATCAAATGTTATAGTATCACGTGAGAGTCTTGATGATAAATCACTCTAAATCATCAATTTAATTATTTTTAAGAATAAAAGAATAATGAATGAATCAATTTCACAAGATAAGGCGAGTATGTTCAGATATATCCACGACAAAGGTATAATGTTTATCAGCTAAGTAAAATTTTGAATTTTTCAATAACTAATTATTATATACTACAGCTCAAGGAAACAATATTAAAAAGTTAGCAAAAAAAAAGTGGAATAGGTATGTAATTTTATTTCCGTACATATTTATGTCCATATATATTGATCGATATTCTTTTTTTTAGCATCCGAAAATCTTCCTCCCGTTCTTAATAATCATAAAACAGCTACTTTGATCCTCAAAGCCTTAAAAGGAGATAGAGATATGCCAGCTCTCGTTTTTGAATGGAACCCAGCAGGGTTCAATGACGTTGCGACTGCTCCAGGCCTTCGAAACGGAATTGTAGGTCAAAGTAAGACTACGATTGTCACGAACCTTACGACAAATGGTGCGAAAAACTATAATGATGTCGTATTTACATTTCCAAATGGATATAGCATTGGAGAATGGAGGAAACGAATAGTTACGAACATACCATGGTATGAATGAAGATTGATTTCATGTTTTTCGGATTCTTAAGTATCAATTTAGCTCAATTTTCCATTTTAATTGCCAAAGGGACGGGGGTTCCAAATGTCATCAATTCAGTCACAAGAATTAACCGAATTACCGAACATGACACAGACACAGCCATACCCTCAACCGCATTTGACCTTGAGGAATTTTCAGGTGTTTTTTGATAGACCTTAATAGCTGATACTAAAGTATTTCTTTGTTTCCAATATATGAGTTTTAAATATATATATATATATATATCGTGAAAATCAGTAGAAATGTAATATTATTTTATAGACCAATTTTTTTTTATATGCAATAAAAAATGCTTGTGCGACAATAATTTTCACATAAAGAAATAGGTCCCCAAAAATATTTTATTATGGTCATAGCAAATATTCGTAGTAATTCTATAGCGAGCCGGATTATAAATTTGTATCTTTTAAAATGATTCCATTCACCTCTCTGGACTCACATTCATGTTGGATCGAAGCATAATTATTTTTTAAGTTTCTTAAAGGGAATATGGTTCATGTACGCTAAAGGTAACCCGAAAGACCAATTTGATCAGGATTTTTAAGGGTTTCTGCTTTCCCTAACTATATATAGCTACTTTAGTAACAAAAATACTATATACTGGTGATTACAATTTCTAACTTTATTGTATCTGCTGTAAATAGATAAAAACATTGTAGGATTAAAAGCGGTAAAAAGGGTTAATACATACGCTTTCTCGAGGGGCCTTTACATTGCGATCACCATTCACATTTACAAGTGCATTTTTGAATGATCGTCACTTCTTGAATATGCAAAAGAGGAGATAACATAAAATTTCAAAATTTAAAACCAATATTATTTATAAGATACCTTAAAAAATCTAGTAAGCATTAACCTTATATAGTAAGATCTAAAAACAAGTGTAGTTATTACTGATAATTAAAAATTTAGAAGAGACAAAAGCAAATTTTTTTTTATTATAACAAGAATATGAAATGCATTATTTTTACTTCATAATTACTTCAAGTTGTGATGAACTTGTAAATAAATTAATAAGACTTATATTTCAGATAAACTCAAAAAATTTTATACATAATAACAAATATTTAGATTAATAGATATATATTTAATTTTAAATATAAAGTTTTTTAATAACTTAAAGTAATTTTAATTATTTGAGAATTTTAATGTTTAAAATTAAAAAATATTTAAAAAATTTATTTAAATATAAAGTCATCAGCTAATATGTAGTAATATATGAGCTCTAAAACCCATTATAAGTAAGGATCCTTCGGGTTTTAATATACTTCACATCTTATAACAATTAGTAAAACAGGTCTAAAAAGTTATAAAGTATCATAAGAAGCATTGATAGATATAATTAAGGTTGCTTATCTAAACTTATTTTGGATTTAGCAAAATGTTTAAACTTTAATTTCATTAATTTTTACTAAAGTTTTGATATAATTTCGCATTTTTATAGTTTTACCTTTTCTAGAATTTCATAGATTTTTTAATAAAGTTTTAATATAATTTTACCTTTTTTATTTAGACAACTTGTAAAACCTTTAAGTTTTATCTAACAATCTTAAATGTGATTATACTCTTACTATATATAATGTCTAAATCTAACTATATTATTCTAAAATCATTTCAAAATCAATTTTCAGATTAAATAATATATCTAAAACTCAATAAAATATTAAAATCAATTGAAATTAGGAAATTGAAACCATTATGCGTCTAAAACTTTACATCATTTAATATCATAAAAAACAGTAGTATATAAATGGGCTTTTTGGCACAAAAAGCCTAAATGTGTCCAGAAGGTTTTCCTGGGTATCAAAAAATTATACTCATAGCGTAATCCCTTTGTTTTCATACTTGTAACCTTAAG